GCATGCTTGGTTTTACTAATTGTAAATAGAAACTTATTTTATAAATAGAATTTACGTGTTTGAATGAAAATGTTAAAACTGAAAATAAACAATTAATGTATGTGATAAAAAAAAGTGCTAGTTCACATAAGTTGCAACTTTTATGGAGATTTTAAATTGGTGATCAATCAATTCCTTGGTAATTATTCAGTTAAAAAGTCTGACCTGAATTGATTCCATACTATAATTACGCAAACAAAAAGGCTTATTGGGTGGCTTGGTGATGTGACCATAGAGCATGTCCCAAGATAAAAAAAAGACAAGCAGTTCATTTTTAAGAAGTTCATTTGATGACTAAACAAGTCTCACCACCTTCTTTAGATTTGATTCCCCGTATTTTCTAGTATAGAGAAAGGTAGACTTCTTTTCTCTATACTAGTAAGAGAGATTGAACCTGCAAGCGCTAACCTAACAGAAAAAACCTTCTCGCACTATTCCTCCCCACTAAAAAGAGCGATTGAGAATCTCGAGAAGCTTTCCGAACGTCTGTCTTCGTGGGGCGATTGAAAAAGAAAGGAGTATTTAATTCTTTTACTGCTTCCATTCCACTATTCTGATCGAATTAATTGCTCTTCCGAAGAGTCGTTCTTCTGCTAAAATAACTAAAATGCTTTTAAAAATTGTACAAAAATATTATAAATTTAAAAGTACCTTTGTAATGAAAATAAGGAACGAAGGATACGAAGTGAAAAGTATTTTGATAATTTTAAAAAAGTTAAGGATGAAATAGTAAAATCTTAGTGAAATAAGAAATGCAACTTATGGCTTTTAGCTAATTTTGACTTATAAGCACTTTAAATATTACTATTTATCAGTATAAATAAGTCAAAAGGTACTTATAAGTGAGTTATAAGCTTACCAAACATCTCTTACTTTGAATATATTGAAAATCGAAAGTGCGAAACAAGCACAATCATTTAAATCAACAGTCACGGAATCAACAAATTGCTCCAAGCAAAAGACAAAAGACCACCTCCAGCCTGGGATTCTTAATAATGTTACTTTTCTGCCTAATTATTCGGCCTATTAAATTGGAATAGGGTCCAATCATAATTGCTTTTTTATTAAAACTATTTAAATACAGAAATTATCGACTAAAGGATATTAAATACTAGTTAAAGTTAGAGCTGGCATTACCTCTGTATTTCTTCTAATACAAACTACAAGATACTACTAGTATAATAGTCACAACTTGACCTACCTTTAGGAAAAGAAAAGAAAGAATAATGTGGGAAAGAACTTTAGTTACTTTACAAGAAACGTATACATTTTCGTCCAAATTGTTTATGGAAAAGAAACTGGTATCCCCCAACTGTATCGAGCAATTTATATATGGAGTAATAATCTTGGTCAAAGATAGCAAGTTTTAAGGTAAATAAAATTGATTATTATAAATTATATATTTTTGGACCACGAACATGTTATAATTGTGAACTTGAACATGTTACGAACATTTGTAGTTGTTGGGAATGAAGTGAAGTTAAAAAGAAAAAAAGAAGATTGCACCTGCAGAAGCTTTGCTGCAGAGACTTGGTCACCATTATTGTGGACATATCGCATTTCAAACGGATCCATAGACACCAAACCAGAATTTGAAGTTCATGCATGGTAAACTTATCATCAAACCAAAAGTTTGTCTTAATTATAAGGTTCATAATTAGATAAATAAATTTCTTAATACAAATATTTTTATCAGTTTGAAAAAGATTGACATAGTTCGGAGTATGAGGGTTAAAGTAATAGTGCCAATCTTTTTGAAAATATGAGCAAAAACTACTTGGTCCGCCCAAACTATGATACATTAGCTCCAGCTAGGGGTGTCAAAATGGTTAAAAGAAAACAGTTAACTATCTATAGTATCCACTAAAAATGAGTTGGATAATGAACTTTTTAAAAACGAGTCAAATATGGATAAGAACCATATTATCCATTTAGAAAATAGATAACCAATGGGTCTAACTTTTACATTTGTAAAGCCTCAACTTGTGGGTTCCTAAGTTAGGGAGACTAAAAATTCTCTCAAAAGTGATCATATGCAAGTAGTCATTGATAATATGGTTACCCACATTATCTGTGGGTTAACCCGTTTCTTATCCGTATTAAAAATGGGTCGGATCAGATAATTTGTCCGTTTTTTCATTACCGGTTTTCGACCCGAACCATATCCGACCCGCCCGTTTGCCACCGATCAAGAGTGCTAAACAGAAGAGCCATCATGACCGTTGGGTAATTCATCTTGTCACTTGATAAAACTTTATTAGTATGTAAATCGAAATGGTAAAAGTTTGTTGATAAGAAAATAGAATTCAAAAGGCAAGGAAATGACAACCACAAAATACAGATTTCTATCGTTTTCTCTGGGTCATACTATATAGCACCAGCACCCTGCAGCTGCAGTAAATTAATATCCTTCTTCAATGGCCTCCCTAATTTCTCTGCCCAAACTCTCTTTCTTTCTTTTACTCATCATAACTTTGGCATTTTTCTCTTCTCCTTCAGCTGCTCAAACTAAATGTAATATCAAATCCGTTTACCAATTCGGCGACTCACTTGCCGATGCCGGTAATGTCATCCGTACACCTGGTGCTAACATCATATTCCGTGCCAACAGAGCTCCGTACGGCGAGACATTTTTTAAGAGACCTACAGGCCGCTTCTCCGACGGCCGTATCATTATCGACTACATTACCTCTGCTCTTAAACTCTCGTTCCTTAATGCTTACTTGGACAGTGGTAATACTTTTAGTCAAGGCGTCAATTTCGCTGTCGCCGGTGCCACAACGTTGAATTCCTCTTTCTGGGCTGCCCGGAATGTCAGGTTGCCCGCCTGGAACACGCCGCTTGCGGCTCAACTAGGTTGGTTCAAATCTCACCTGCAATCTACCTGTGGTTCCAATTGTGCTCAAACTCTCAGTAACTCTTTAGTAGTAATGGGGGAATGGGGTGGTAATGACTACTATAATAATTTTTTCCAAAGAAAACAATTACCTGAGGTACGGACTTACGTTCCTTTTGTTGTTGCGGGTATTATGAGAGGCATTAAGGACGTGATTCAGCTCGGGGCAACTCGTATTTTGGTACCAGGGTTTTTTCCGTTAGGTTGTCTTCCTCTATACCTTACAACTTTTCCTGATACTAATGCCAATGCTTATGACCAATTTGGTTGCTTGAGAAATTATAATGATTTTGCTTCATACCATCACAGATACCTAAACAGAGGTCTGGATAATCTACGACGCGAGTTTCCTAGTGTTAGAATTGTTTATGGGGATTATAATGGGGCGTTTTTGACTCTTCTTCAGAGTGCTACTTCCTTTGGATTTAATCAAAACACATTGCTCGCTGCTTGCTGTGGAACTGGTGGAAGATACAATTTTAATTTCAGTAATGTGTGTGGATCAGCTAGTGTAAGAGCTTGTTCTAACCCGGCTCAATACGTGCACTGGGATGGCATTCATTTGACAGATGAAGCTCATCGTCGTATTACAGACATTATCGTCAAGGACATGCTTTCAAGATTAGGGTGTAGTGTTTAGTTTATTATTTAATTTCAATATTCTCTTAGGGGTGCTTTTTCTTTTTTTGGTAATAAAGAGTTTCTTTGTTGGGTGTTTAGAATATGAAGATGTGTCTCCTTCATGAAGAGGTGGAAAAGAATATAAATAAAAGAAAGATTGTTGTTTGCAAATAAATAGTTAGAGCCAATGTTCTTATTACGAACTTCTGTTCTTGGAGGCTTAAGCTGGGTAAACATCAGGGTATCCTTTCTGAGGAATGAAAGATTCAATATCAAACACTACTTGCAGCTGTTGTTTTTTTTTTTCTTTTTATAATCAAAGTTTCTTATATAGACTTGCATAAAACTATCAATTAACATTTGAGTGGCCCCCTCCATTACATGCTTTGAATAAATGTAGCACAGTGCTAAGAGCTCAGCTAATAAAAGTCATTGACAGCGGAATAGGCCTTCCTTGGCCTAAATCTGAAATTTGAGATGCATCATTGATCTTGCTTCATTGTATAGCTCTAACTTGACTAGGCAGCGATAGAGCTTCATTGAAGTCGGATTTTTTTTTTTAATCTCTTTCACCCAATTTTGTCAGTTTTCTAATTTGCAGAGTGGTGCTTTTAATCTGCTATGGAGCTCTTACTCTCTTATTGATTGTATTAGTAATAATCAACATAGACTCAGACTCCACAATTATAAATTCAGGCTACTTGCAGTTGCTAAATGAAGAGATTATAACACGATGGCAGAGTGGAATATATAATAATGATATTTAATTTTAATTTAATTTCATAACTTGTTAGATTCGATAGTTCTTAGGGACGATAACTAGGAGGTTGAAGACTATGGATCCTGGTACTTTGTGAAACTTCACTTATCTGGTTGGTACCATTAGTCAATGAACTAGCTAGCTCTGAATAATGTGAAAAGTTTAGATGTTGCCCCATAATAACGAGAGCGCAAAAATAACCGTGCAAACAATTTCCGAATGCCATCGGACCGGATAAAACCTGAATTAAGTGTGGTGCACTTGCGGAAAGCTCCTTGCCGAAGGCCTGTGCACCCCCGGGATTAATCGGGCTCTTAGAGACTCGGACACCCGGTGCAAATCAAAAAACAAAAAAAATAACGAGCGCAAACATAAGTATTCTACCAGGTGTTCGCTGCATCTTACATTTTATCTGACTTTAATTATTTTTAATCTCAAGATCGAAAGCATACTTTAATGCAATTTTTTCACATTTTTTATTATTGTGGAAGCGAATTTTAATGTAACATAAAGGACGCCATCCACTACTCTGCATACACAAAAGATCAAAACTATGCGGGCCTTAGCTTTAGAACTTCAGGGGTCTATGACTTGCATGTGATAGTTGAAATATTCACAAGGTACCAAACGAGACAGTTTTTCTACGAAGAAATCAGGAAACAGATGCACAGAGTATAGTAAGAATAGTGCAAAATCAGGAAAAACATCTGATGCGGGGCATTCTTAATCATTTGAACGAACGAATAGAACAGAAATGACAAATTTGAGGAAACACGTTTGCTTTTATTTAATAAGTTCATAATGATCATGGCTCAAAATTTTCCACGCAGCTACAATGTTGCAAGAAAAGATTGCAAGTCTGCAGCATGACGGAACAATATGGTAACGCTTTGTTCGATAGCAAAACAGCAACATAAATCAAGATAAATGCCAAAGGATCAAATTGCATCCTCGCTACTTGAGCTGGTCAAATAGCTTCACCGCAACCTGTATGCACAAAAAGTATTTGAGGAAAAATCTACAAAATAAAGTAACAGAAAGGACAGACGAGAGGAGGGTTTGAACCTTTCGCATTCCAATCACCAACCTGCTCCCCCTCCCCCCAACCCCCAAAACCACCGCACCTCAGAAAAGAAAGGAACAAATACTATGAAGTTGAGAAACAAGGAGCTTACACATTTGTCAATACACTGCCAATAATCAAAATACTGTCCAGTGCAATGCTTGTGCCCAGATTCATCACCTTCTATCCTTTTAGCACAAGCCTGTAGGATGCCGATTTTCGAATTAGAACGAACTGAGAAAACCCTAGTTTCTATAACTAATGAAGCTAGCTTGTACAATGATTCAGCCAATTGAGAACAGCTAATCTTTGGAGACTCAACATTCCAAGTTCCATGCTCTAACTACTTTAAATGCAAAATTCTAAGTAAACATTAACTGTTCAAATTTGCCCACCTGGCAACATCATATAAACAGGACAGATTCAAAGAGTTATCATCATATAGCAAAAGAACAAACTCTTCAGAACTTAAATGTGTCGCTGCAGATAAAAAAGTATGATCTCGTGGATTCAGTATCTCTTTTTTTTTCCGGGTGATCTCTAAATTCGCGTCTAGCTTCTCTAAGCCCAAGGTGATATACCCTGCAGCCCTGCTCACCTTCCCGCCACCGCTACTCCTCCCCTAAGTTGGGTGTGGGTATATGATGTTGCCAGGTTCAAAAAGCTATGATCATACAGAACAAACTCTTCAGAATTTAAACGTGTCGCTGCAGATAAAAAAGTATGATCTCATGGATTCAGTATCTCCTTTTTTTTTTGTCGGGTGATCTCTAAATTCCGCATCTAGCTTCTCTTAGCCCAAGGTGATATACCCTGCAGTCCTGCTCACCTTCCCCGCCACCACTACTCCTCCCCTAAGTTGGGTGTGCGTATACGATACAGGAGCGAATCCAGAGATCCGGTACTTCATGACCTAAATTTTAAGATTCGGGTATGGATACGAGTGCCGGAATTTGGCTATATCTAAAAATAGAGCACTAAAAATATGCCATTATGTGAAAACTTACATGTAGCTTGTAAAAGCAGTAACTTAATCTTTTATTCTTAATTTATAGGTAGCAACCTAGAGATCTACAGTAGCTTAGCTTTTGTCTTAAGAAATCAAAATGCCAAATCTTATCTCTAATTTCTCCGTAGTTTGTGGTCAAAGTACCTACGTACCCCACACCCATACTAGTGTCTACGTCATGTCGACACAGGTACAGCTGCACCACAAATGAAGAGTCCGCACAACTTAGAACCCCCCCCCCCCCAAAAAAAAAA